GTGTTTATTAGTCGGCGTGCGTACAGGGAGGGGGGTAGGGGGAACATTTTACAGGTAGGAACAACAGGTTCCACACTGCCCACCAGGGATTATTTGTCTGTCGTGCATATTTGTCGTGCACGAATGCGCTGTCCAACCAAGTTCCTACCTGCCAACTCCGAAGGAACGTATTGACAGAGATTTTTGCGTTCCTACTCAATGGATGGCCCCTTACCGGTGTGACATATGTCGGTGACATTATTGCTGTTCAAATTTTGCTTGCAATAGTTTATTGCGTGCAAACATTGTTTTCTTTTCTTAAACCGTTGTTCCACCTTACACAATCAGTTAATTCCGTGGTCAAATGTTGGTTGGCTTTAATTTGTGCCCAATTACGGTGACTAAATTGATCATGGCCCCCTTTTTGTCAATCTGCTGCTGAGCGATGGCCATGTCGGTCATTGGGATTGTTTGACCGAGATGCTCGGTGGGAGGTTCACCAACACGCACTGGTCAGTTCAATTATCATCACTCGCCACCGATGTCAGAAGCCATGGCTGCGAATGGAATTGAGGTCGAGGAGTTCATAACGCAACATCTGCTAACCAATGCGTCAATTCAAACCCCTGTCAACCCATCCTTCCCTCCCTCCCTCTTAATCATCAGATTATACGTGTACTTTTCATGCTGTGCAATTGAAATATGGTTGGAGGCTACAATGGTTATCACCTGGTTGTAATTGAGGATACCTACATTTTAAAAAAACATAGCACCTCCAATCGCTTTTGCATTTTATCAATCTGCTGCCAGAACTAATTACACCGTTTGCCCCCCCCCTTTTACACGCTTTCATTTAACTCACTCTGTTTGTTGTTGTCGTTGTTGTATCCTCAAATCTTGTAACTCAACTTTAACCCACTTCCCAATATGGTATCGACTGAAAACTTGGTATACGTATGTCATACTGATGACAATACTATATTCTATCATACATATATATATTTTTTTACATTCTTTTTTATATGTTATGTTTCGTCTAGGCTCCAATTGTTCACGGTCAACTGACGTTGGCTGTAATTGGCCACGGTCCCCTTACGTTATGGCAAGCTTTGGGCCACTTCCTGGAGTCGTGGAGTTCTTCCATTACTAGTACGATATATTTCATAAAAGCGTGTTTTTTTAAAGTGTTTTTTTAAATATTACTTATTTAAACTAAATGCTGATTTAGAAATATTTTTTAAGTTACAGTTGACAATATCTGCAAGTCCAGCTGTTGTCCTGAATATATATTTAGCAATGTCATCGCTGATAGCAACATGGAGAAAGGTCAAGACAATTCTCGGTGGTGAAGATTTTTTTCCTAAACAAGTTATTGGGTGATGATGATGCACCGCCACTGATGCACAAGCACAATTATCAAAATAAACTCAACACATTCATCAATAGCACTGTGTAGCTTGAAAATGACAAAAATTTAGATTTAAAGCTTTCGTGACTGCAGGGATTCATCTTCTTGGTTCTTTCGGTAAAGTCACGTAGAAGGGAACCAAGAAAATTACAAAAATATATATAATATATATATAGGTGACTTTTCGGATAAGGGTCGTTCTTTGTAGCACACACACGAACAAGGGCCATTAAAGCATGGCTGAAAAAGAACTATTCTAAAAAGTAGAGTACACAATACAAGGCGTCTAACTGTGTGCGCGTGTTTACAATAAATCTTTAACGTGCATCTAAACAAACGGAAAGCAGCTTATAAACTTTCTCTGATGAGCAAAGCATCGGGCACGTTCATAAATACTGCAGAGCGATGGAGATTGGGCGTGTTTAAAAATAGGCTTTTGCTCCCATGTAAAATTTATGAGCAAATCAAATGGAAGGGGCTGCTGCTCCTGCTGCTGCGTGTGCAGACACATCGCCTTTGTGGAGGTATGATGTTCACCTCGACATCGCTCGGATCATTCATCAAATTAATTCCGGCTTCACATTTTCTCACGAAGATCCATTAGGGGACATTTAATGTGGTAATTATAACAGCTGGGTTGGCTCTTTCTTTACATTTTTAAGAGGCTGTCTGCTCTGTAAATGGGTCACACGCTGCTCTGTATTCGCGATATGTAGTTTTAAAAAAAATAGTTTGACGTAAAACCACACTGCTGGCGAAAGCAGCAAGAGGGGAGTACAGGGCCATCTAGTGGAGATCAGCAGCGTGCAGCGTCAAAGGTCACGCGTGGAACGACGATTTATCATACTAAAAAAATATAAGCGGGCACAATTCGCCTCCTTCCATACCTGTCTCTCGCCATAAAATATACGTGTTTATTTTAAAAATGTATATATAATGATACACGTAATTTATATCTTTACATTATATATTTACTACACATCCCATCAGTCACGTGGCATTTCTGTGAGTGGATGTTTTCTCACCGACATTGGTTCAAAGTGTGTGGACCGGGCGACACCCACCAAGTGTATTTTATTTAAGCAGGTGAAAACTCAAGAGACCAAGGATAATCTCATTCGCAAGAGTGGCCAGGGAAATGTCTCTGCCAGTAGGCGGATAGAGGGGCAATCATTGCTATGTTTAACCCCAATTGAATACAGGGACTCGTCCACTTACGAACGAGTTAGATTGCAGAGGTCTGTTGGTAAATCGATTAGTTCGTAAGTCCAAATTTAAGTCTGTCGATTCCAAACGTGCTGTTACGACATGTACACTAAACACGGGGAATGGTTTTAAAAGTTGTATAATGTCCCGTAGATGTCACTGGTTCTTCATGTTCTGCAGATGCAGATGCCACCACCGCCATCGATTGCGCGGCGGTTGAACTTACGACTCTCGGTCCGAACAGGCAACCAGACATATGGACGAGTTTGTTCGTATCTCTGAAAGTTCGGAAGTCGAATGTTCATAAGTAGAGAAGTCCCTGTCATTAGCGGTGTCAGTTTCAAATTTGCCAAATTTGGACCCCGACGCCGGCACACGACGGCTTACTCTTGCGAATGACGCCACGGGATCTTTTAACATCCAATGTGAAGCAGACGGCGGGTATTAACATGGTTGTTAAGCCCGCAGTGTTAAATCAGGGAGACCAACAGTAATCCTCCGCAATATGCACGCTCATATTATATCGAAATACTCAAATCAGCGATCGCTTCATTGGGGACAGGGCGTTTATCACAAAACCCCATGGCACCAATTGCTTGCTTCCCAGGTGTACTGTGGAAGTTGGGAGTTTCCTAGCAGCGAACGGTTCCCGTTGTTTATTGCTCAGATTTCGCACGAGATCTGCAAAAGTTCATCACCCCATTCGGCCCCAGAAAAGAGACGGTCTACAGCACCATAATCACATTAAACCCAAGGCAACCACTCGCCACTGACTCAGCACTGAACCAACTGTCCGTACGCTACTGTCAATTTAAACGTTCCGGTCCATCGGCAGAATCAGCATTTATTTTGTTGAAGAGATACAAATGCTGACTGAACAACAAAAAACACATCCAAAAAAAAGTTGGGTGGTTTGTTTGGACACCCCACGACACCCACAATGACTGTGTCCCCCTCAATGGCTGTGCCCCCCCTAACCGGCCCATCATGTTTGCACCAAACGCTGTAATCCTCCACCCCGCAGCCCCGCACCGACCCTTTTTGCTGCTCGCACTCTGTGGCTGCCCTGGCCGGTGACGCATGCCACGTGATCCACCAGATAGATTAAGCTGGCAGAGGGCCACACTGTTTTGTTTGACCTTCACAATGCCATAGACATGGTCCATTTAATAAGTTGGCATGGCTATGATGAAAGGTGGCCGACTAAAAGCTGTGCTGTAATTTAAATAGCGTCGGGTTTCTTTTTTGTGCAGATAATTTTTGGGACGCAACGTAACTTAAGAAAATGTGATTTCATGGACTCGTAAAGCCTGGTATACAACACCTGACAAAGACAACTCAGGGCAGGAATAAGTATAACCCGTAAAAACTAAGTTTTTCACTCTAAATCCTTTATATGCGTGGCAGCTAGAGTCCTCTCGTCCTCTGGCTTGAGATGGCTGCCACCTATGGGTCAGATGATTTTCTGCAGTATTAAACAATTGGTAATTAAATATTTAATTTGTTTTCCCTAAACAGTGTAAAATTTTGGAAACATTTTTTTCACGAACATTAATTATCTCGCACAACGAATCTGTGCAAAATGTCAGCTCGATTGGATCACGGGAAGTGGGTTAAAAACGACCGAAAGGTTTGCACGGTCGTAAGCAAGCAAGCAAGCACGCAAGCAAGCAAGCGAACTTAATATAAAGGATTTAAAAAGTGGAGAGAGTTAAGAGCCAAGGCATCGGTGAGACCCGCACGATCGTGAGACCCGCATGATCGTTGCGGGTTAAGGTAGCTGGCAATGATGAGGTTAAGATATAAGATGAGAAAAAACAGGACGTTGTATGCCCAACATACGCCTATGTCAAATATGTCACAACATATATATTGTTCGTTTTAAATAGCACATTAATTCACACACTCTCATGCCAGCAATGAGCTTCCACCAAACCCCCCTTTGAAATATGGTTATTGTTCCTGCCTTTATTTTATTTTACTGGACATTTTTTTTTACCCGGTAGTATTTTAACCATTATAATTTCATCACTGTTAAGACTCATTGTCGAATTTTTTTACAAATGCTAATTTAAGAATGCCATTGTGACTATTATTGGCTCTTTTTTCACACCCTCACAAGTGGTATTACATCTTCATAGAGCCTTGTCTGGTTATAGATTAATCATTAATGTTTCATTTGTGAATCATGGGACCTCAACGGTCAAATCAATGAAGACTTGATTTATGTAAAAAGGCATTCAAAAATGTATTTAATACATAGTTTGCCTTAACATCACTAACTAACTCAGGTTAAAACCAAAGTAAAATTAATCATGAAAATTCGTATTGGATCCAACGAATTCAAAACCAACAATTCACAGGTCCAGAAAAATCACACAATCATGTTAATTGAGAATGAGCTCACCTCACGGATAGCGATAATCCTGGCGAAATCTCTCCCTGCTCCAAGTCCGCTGTCACGCGACTGCTCAGCACGTTTTCCGAGCGGCTGTTTGAAACCGCCGATTGATGCTGGGAGATAACCTCGGCGCTGAAAACACTGGTCAGGCCTCCCTCTAAGGCCCCTTTCTGCCTGGCAAAGGCACGGTCGGGAACGCTCGTAAGGCTCACGCAAGCCGGCGACGAAGATTTTGATCGTCTCTGCTCGCAAGAGGAATTCACGTCGGCGGCGGTCAATGAGCGTTGTCTTTCCCCGTCTCTTTGGCCCGCGTCACCATCTGCGTCATGAACTGCTGGGACCGTCAGAACCTCTTCGGCCTGCGTCACATCGGAGTCGCCGCTCCTCGTGTCGGACGAGCCCTCTGCGGCCTTCTGCTCACAGACCGCCGAGTCCGCAGAGCTATCGCCCTCCGTCCTTCGCCGGGCGTCGCGAGGCAGACGCAGCGGCGACGTCCGCTCGTCGCTCCGACCCCGCGGCTGAGGCGAGCGGCCCGCGTCGTGCGGCGCCGACGGGGGGGACAACGCCCGCAACGGAGCACAGGTGCTCGGGCTGCCGGCGAAGTTCAGAGCAGGAACTGGCGAAGTGTCCGAAGCGTCCATCATCCACTCGCGAACCCCCGGCGTGAGCGTCGCCTCGGAGAAATCGAAGCAGGGCTCGTCGTCGTCGTCGTCGGCGGCGGCGTTTTCCGGCTCACCAGATGGAGGGGCGGCCGAGCTGAGAACGTCGAGCGAGTCCATGCTCGAGTAGGACATTCCGCGCTCGTGGTGAGCCTCTAGGATGCTCTCAGCATCGCGGCTGAAGGCGTCGGTGCTGGGATCTTCGGCACAAATGACACCGCTGCCGCCACCGGCAATGCCGGCGTTGCCGCCACCCTCTCCTGGCACCAGCTCCACGCTGCGCCGGATCTCACGCATCATGAGGCTGCAGGGGAAGGTTGCGGTGTTAAGTGGTGTACAGTTCGCATTCAATGATCCAAGCCCACGTCCCTGGAGATCCATGAACTGTGACTTCTGGGTCGCGATTTTATTCAAGATAATTTTAGTTTTATTTGTAGTGTAACATTCTCTTTTATGGAGAGTTATGTTCACTCCATTAGTTTCGAGTTAATCTGCAATTGCAGCGCTGTACTATTCAGTGACAAAATTTGTGGTACTCTTCCATGCTGGTCAGATGTCTTGGAAGAGGTGAAAGCACCCTCCATGTGCCTTGCCACATGAAACCCACCGACCAACAAATAAACCGTAAATAATTAATTCTTATGCATGCAATTAGATGAATGTATCACGAGTGTAAGAATCAATTTTAATCAATTGAATCGATGTATAGATCTGTTCCTTGCCTGTACCGTGGCCCCCTGGGATGGAGCAGTGGCACAGTGGTTTGCGCACTGCTCTACGAACCCAACGACCCAAGTTCCATTCCCGGCCACGGCTATCATCAGTCAGTGGCTAGCGATTCCCAGTCCTGGACACCTCCGTTTATCAATCCACACTAACCAGCGTGGTGAAGTATGGTCAAACAACCCCAGGAATTACTCGGCGAGGGGAGGCGACTGGCAAACGGATGTACAATTACATTTTTGATTTGAAGCTTTCGTGACTGCGGGAATCCATACTCTTTGGTTCTTTCGGTAAAGTCAAAGAGTACAATTACATTTTCTTATCTCGACTGAAAAGTGCATCACAGTGGATTTTGATTACCACCTCAGGGAGGTAGATTTATTATCTGATGTCATCTTTTTTAAACATTGCTCTCTGAAATTCCACCGCCCCCCGCTCCCCCAACACTCCAGGTGACAACACGTGATAACATGTATTTGCAATAACGGGCAAACGTTTCAATATGCATAGCGGTCATAGCAGAGTGGTGGCACAATGGTTAGCGCACTTCACTAAGAGCCTGGCAACCAGAGTTTAATTCCTCGACAACGAGTAATATATTCTTGGTTCTTTCGGTAAAGTGTGAAATCCACACCTGATGATGATTGCTTGTGTTGCAGTCGAAACGTCGTGAGAATTTTATTGTTTTATATTTTTATTATTTTATTATTTCCCTTCTACGTGACTTTACCGAAAGAACCAAGAATATGAATCCTTGCAGTCACGAAAGCTTTAAATCTAAACGAGTAATATTCGAACTGGTATCGGGCGGCGGCACTGATCAGTGTTGCTGTCTTTCCCCGCACCTCCGATTAGCACGGTTGGCTAAGTACGGTGCGAAAGAAGTTCAACACAACAAACGTCAAGTAACTTCGACGACCCACAAGGCAGGAAGATGCCTTCATTCGGCGGTCGATCAATCGTGTCCTGCGATAACGATGACGTTAAGGATATGTACGTATCTACGTAAGTAAATGCGGACGCCTCTCGTACCTGGCCAATCCCCCCTCTGCCGTGGGACCCTTGTTGGGGCTCTCCGGGCAGACGCGCCCAGGCTCCACAAACACCTCGTCCTCCAGGGGCACCTCTCCATCCTCCTCTGCCGCAGCGCTGCACTCGTCCTCAAGCCTCCTCTGTCCGCTCGCTTCTTCCCCTGCGGCCTCCTCTCTTGCGGCGAGCGGCATCACTATGCTCAGTCCAGTCAGCTCCGCCGGCCGGGGTCCCGTCGCACCAAAGTCAGACTGCACGCCAACTGCCTGGGTGTCCGAAACACGTCTGACCTCAGCGTGTCCTCCATCGATGTCCCCCCTCGGCTGCTCGGAGCTGCCCTCGCACGGGGGATCGTCTTCTTCTGAAATGACGAGGGAGTCTAGTTCGAGGCAGCCGTTGAAGTCGTCCGAGTGCGATACTTTCCTGTCCTTCGAAGGAGCGCTTCCGGTTGCCCTTACACGGTCACCGTCGGTCGCCTGCAATTGCTCCAAGTCGCCGTCTTCATGGCTGCGGATGCTTGGTGCCAAGTGAGTGGGGTCACCGTCGGCCTGGGCCGTGATCAGGGATTTGTTATTGGGCTGAACGGCGCCGGCCGTGTCCATGCCCTCCGCTGCCGCTTCGGTCCCGCCGTCCGTGTTCGCGTCCTCGCTGCCGCCGTCCCTTTGGCTCACGTGCGTATCCTGAGGCTCCGCATTGAGGTTTGACTCCCGCTGGCCTGCTGCTCGACACGGACAATGTGACGATGTCACGTGATCAATCGACGTTCATGCCAGCGTCGTAGTATTAATAATAATGAGTGAAAATAATCACCGGAAGCAGCATTGCCTTCATCACTGTCATCGGCACCATCAACAGCACCAGCAGCATATCAACAGCAGCAGAGCATTCCTCATCATCAGCAGCAGCAACAATAGTAGCAATATTACCTTCATCCTCGGCCGGAATAGGAACACCAATATGTAAACGTAGCATTGTCTTATAATTATCAGAAGCAGCAAGTAGCAGGAGAATCACTGTGAAAGTTATACAATCACAGTAATTTAGTCACATCAACCACATTTATTATAATTTCACGCTCATCACATGTATTTTATCACTGCCGTATTCTCACCATATCCAACCAATAGAAGTAATTTGGCACCATTAGGGCACAACTCACGTATAAAAGTAATGTTGATATTCTTTCCCATTTTTTTTTCTCGTTCAGTTTTTTTCTAACCCACTGTTACAAGACCTTGATGGGAACGCCGTGCGGTGCTGATGAAAGCTCATGCATTATGCATGCTCGCCCGTATTGACGTGACCGACACCCTCATGTGAAACGAGTCACGTTCAAACAGGAAATCATCCCGCTGACGGTTCGTGGAAGAACATCCACTGAAGTCCGGGCTACAATTACACTTCCTTCCCGAAGGACGTGACACAAGTGCCGGTCATCATCGCGGCCTCAGTTGCAGGCCCGGTGCTGCGTCGTGCACCCGTGTTGCCGTACAGGGACAGCTGCCACTAGGGGGTCCCCTTGGATAGACTGCAGCAGGGCTTTTAAATGGCTGAGATGAATAATGGCTGCTTTGAGTTGCTGAGGAAATTAAGCGGCCTATAAAAGCGGGACCTTATCCTTGATTTCTGGGCATATCCGTCTGGGTTAGTAGCCAAGAAAAATAGTTCCGCATCAGGCACATGACATCAAGAATACCTCTCGCTATGGCTGTGGTTTGCAGTCACATGCCTAATCCACTCTACCAGAGACCTTGGCAACATTCCGTGGGAAATTAAACCTCTGCTGCTCAAGACGGTATAAAGAGATCTAACAAGCGTAAACATGTTACTGTACACGAACCGTCTCGGTCTGGAGGTACGGGAGTACAGTCGAGAACAGGGATTACCTGGCCCGTGACATTTTCTGCGCAGTATGGAGACGGCTAATAAGAAATATGTGAGCATCGCTTTCGGGGTTGTTAAAATAATAATAATAGGATGGGAACCCGTTTCCAGTGGTATCTTAGCAATGAACGCACTGGCTTAAGAATCATGAGCCACTTTCAACCGCCGTGCCAACAAGTGCGACTTGCCAACCATCACACACCAGTGTGGAAGCTCCCTTTCGTTTCTCAGTCAAAAAGAGACCGCGACGTTTCCTTTGAGACACCACTTTAACGTCGCAAATCAGGACTGTACCCCTATTTTACTGGTTCGAGTCCACGCAGTTATCGGTAACCCTAAAAAAAACGTTTTAACAACCATTATTGCATTCCACGCCGAGCTTCCTACGAGTTAGAATAATTAGTTTTTCCTATTTTTAGGAGTCTCACGAAAAATATATAAATGGGCGGTGGACAAGGCCTGGCCGTAGCACGTTCACCGTTTGTTTAGATTGAGCAGCCACCCTGGATCATATCGAATTAAAAAAATACGAGCCATGTGCTTCACTGTGAACGTCAAAGCCCCTTTAACACGTAGACTTTCGCGACCAATATCATCCATAATACAGGTTTTTTTGGGGGGGGGGGGGTTAGATTACATGACAAACCTTACTAATTGGCTGTGTTGGGTGGTGGCGGGTTTAACGGCACGTTAATACATTTAGGCGATCTAAACCTAAAAAAAACCTGTATTATGGTCAAAGATCCTATGCCGTCAGTCACAAAAACGAGTGCCATTGTGTGCCGATGTCATGGCCCGAATTTTCTAAATGAGACGACAAATTACGAATTTAGGATTTTACACGCACGCGCGCATAATAGCAATCATTGCCGCGACTGCAACAAAGCCCTCCTGTCGAAGGAGTCATGAGACTCGGTGATGGTTTCCTCGGTAAACAGGCGTGAAAATAGTAATATACAGATGCGGTATATCCCAGGACAAAGATGCGCTATCACACCAGCAAGCTGAGACGATCCATGGTAGAAACTGCTTCCACCTAAGGTAGCAAATCCTTACTTGCACTGATGTATTTATATGGCCAATGAATTAATTAGCTGATTTCCAACTAATTTCATTTGGTTGTCACATCATTCACCGTTATTGGCTACATCACGATATTGGAACCGCAAAATTAAATTGATGCCCCATCAGGCGGTTACCGACAAGGTCAAATACCGGTGGTCTCGGGCCAGCGTCCTTCACTCATTTTCAGAGGGGGGCCACTTTCGCCGATAATACATCGTCAGTGCAAGGGCCGCCACAACATGTGACACCATTGTTGGGTTTGACAGCAGCACGATGATGATGATGATGGGGGGTCAGTTTAACACGTAGATTGTAAATGTTGTGGCTTGGCTCTCCAACGCACCGGTGTGCTGTACTAGTGTCGAATTGGCCACGTTCTGTTTACGTGACAATACCAATTGGCTGTGTCGGGTGGTTGGCGGGTTTTAACGACACATTTATAGATTTACGCGATCTAACCCAAAAAAAGTAATATTAAAAAATACTTTTTTAAAAACACGCTTTCATGAAATGTACCGTACGAGTAATGGCAGAACTCCACGACTCCAGGAAGTGGCCTCGAGGCTTGCCACAACGTAAGGGGGACCCCGTGGGCAATTACAGCCAACGTCAGTTGAGCGTGGACAATTAGAGCCAAGCCGAAACATAACATATAAAAAAAATTGTTAAAAAATAATTGATTTATTTTAAAATGATAGAATATAGTATTGTCATCAGTATGACATAAGTATACAAGTTTGCAGTCGATACCATATTGGGAAGTGGGTTAAAATTGAGTTACAAGATTTGAGGATACAAGTGAGTTAATAGAAAGCTTGTAAAAAGATTGTTTAAAGATATATATATTTAATGACAGAATATAGTATTGTCATCAGTAAGACATACGTATACAAAGTTTTCAGTCGATACCACATTGGGAAGTGGGTTAAAATTGAGTTACAAGATTTGAGGATACGACAACAACAGAGTGAGTTAATAGAAAGCGTGTAAAAAGATTGTTTAAAGATATATATATTTAATGACAGAATATAGTATTGTCATCAGTAAGACATACGTATACAAAGTTTGCAGTCGATAACACATTGGGAAGTGGGTTAAAATTTAGTTACAAGATTTGAGGATACGACAACAATAAAAGCGTGTAATAAAATAAAATAAAAACTCAATTTTGAATGATGGGTTGGGGGGGGGGTTCTCAACATTTGTGAATTGTCAAGGGCCGCACTAAAGGCCACCAAGGGTCTGCCAGTGGCCCACGGGCCTTGCAATCAAGAACGTCGCCCATGGGCAATGAACCTGTGACATGGGTTGAGAGCCGGTCCAGCTGGATAATGGGACATCCACTACTACTCCCAGGTCTGCCATCTAAATGAAAGCGATATTGTTTTGTCTGTTCAAAAGTTGATAACATAATTACACATTTCACACACGTAAATGTACGAAGCGTATACACGGGCGTTCTGCACACAAGGGTTTTATGCGGACTTTATAATAAGCTGCTGGGGCAAGTGTTTGATAGCGAGGCACACGTGGGAGTCCAGCACGACACACGTGAGGGGGTGGTCAGCACCACGCCTGGCCGCCTTTGTCTCCCCCAGCTATGAAGTTAACACAAAGCCCCGGGAACTCATATTCTTAGGTTTTTTCGGTAAAGTCACATAGGTGAAAAATTACAATTTATAAAAGTAAAATATAAATAAAATAAAAATCACGACGTTTCGGAGGCAACACAAGCTTCCGTCTTCAGGTGAAACCGTCACAGCACGATTGCTGTATCAAGACCCCGTTCCGATAGCACCTGGCACGGAATCGAACTCCGATTGCCGAGATTGATCGGTGTGAAACCAGTTGCACCACCTACTCCTGCAGCTGATACAACCCTCTTCACGGGTTTACGCCACACACCAAGTTAAAACACCCAACACACAGGTGCGCTCCACTGTACACCAAACATATAAACACGCGCGGCATGAGCCGATCTTCGCCACAGTTACATCACCACGGCACTTTGGTGCCAGGCAAGGTGCACTTTGAAGCCGCGGGGGGCGTTGGAAGGCTCGCCCGGATGGCGACCACGTGTACACAAATCACACGCACGCACGCACACACATACACACACGGGACACACCAACACCCGAAATTCGCCACGAAGTGACTGACGGAGACGTCACCACGGCGCTTTGGTGCCAGGCCACGTGCACGTTGAGTCCTGCGTGAAGTGTCGAAGGCTGCTTCGCTGACGGGAGGAGGTCTCGGGACAGAGCCAGCAGGTGCCATGGGGTGATAACTGGGTAGACGACTGGGTAGACGACTGGGTAGACGACTTGTAGATCACTGGGTGATGCACCAAGCTGTAGCCCCTAATGTGCCAACACGTACAGACTCTTGCACCTACCTGGAGCCCCGCCCCTCCACTCCAACCCACTGCCCCGCCTCTCAACTCCCACCCACAGCCACTCCACCCACGGCCCCTCCACCCACGGCCCCTCCACCCACGGCCCCTCCACCCACGGCCCCTCCACCCACGGCCCCTCCACCCACGGCCCCTCCACCCACGGCCCCTCCCCTCCACTCCCACCAGCCCCTCCCCTCCACTCCACCCCCACCAGCCCCTCCCCTCCACTCCACCCCCACCACGGCCCCTCCCCTCCACCCCCAGCCCCTCCCCTCCACCCCCAGCCCCTCCCCTCCACCCCCAGCCCCTCCCCTCCACCCCCAGCCCCTCCCCTCCACCCCCAGCCCCTCCCCTCCACCCCCAGCCTCCACCAC